ACTCGTGTCCGCCATCTTGGATTTAGAAATGAGTGCCATATTCGTAACGAGCATCCCCAAACACCTCGAAAAGGATACCCATATAGCATATTTTGAAAAATCGTGTCCGCCATATTGGATTTACAAATAAGTGCTATATTCGTTTTTCATCGACAAAACCGAGCATATCTGTAGGCACCTGATCGACAATGTCGGGCAAATCTGTAGGCACCTTTAACTTAATGATGAGTTAAGCAAGATACAATTTCCCCACTTTTGAGGGAAATGTTATTCCATGGCATCATTATTTGTATATTTGTGTGCGTGCCGACGAGCGTAGTTACAAGTTGCTTACGCCTACATGAATTTGGTTTTTGCCTCACTTGTGACAGTTCGTTTGATATGAAACTATCATTCTATGCGTTATTATTCTAAGATTATAGCGTGTCAACTCTATCTAGCGCGCCCGAAGCGTACTCGCAAACTTCCTACCCGATATCGCGACGACCACCCATCCTGAGTAACTAGTTTAGTCTTTGCGAATGTAGATGGCGCTTCTCGCCATCGAGCCTGTTTTGCCAAATATCACTTTTGCATGACCAAATATGGTGACAATGAAAGGACTTCCGGTAACTTCCGTTTTATGCGTGATTACCGACTCGCACCCCCACGTGCCCCAATTAGTATCCCTGAGTCCGCGTTTAACACTGGTTGCAGTTAGAAGTAGTTTTTCATGTTCCTTCCTGGTAGAAGTAATTACTTACGTCGTAGTATCTGCATAATATCTCTGTGCCCTCTCTGTTTTTTTATACTAATAATAATGCATAGTGCTCTACCGACTGACTTACTTATTTAGCCTGACCATAATATTTATTTTTTTACAAAAGTAATAACTAACGAATTATTGAAAGTTATTGAGTGAAAGTTGCAGTTTATGATGTTAGTAATACAGTCCTGGGAGGTTGTTAATACATATTTGCAACTAATCCTGTATTATAAAGCACATTTGCTCAAATGATCTTTACTCATCCAATTGAGATATTATTAAAAAATGTTCGCTGTGGTTCTAATATAATAATTTTCCTTTCCTTGATTTTTTGTTTTATAATCTCAAGTAACGAGAATGTAGTAGTAAAAGTAATCTTAAGTAAGACGAACAAGATCGTGCACTGATGGTAAGCTACACGCCTGTCCATAACAGAGTTGCAGTGCCACTCATGAGCTTTAAATCGCAAAGATCAAGAGAGGCACCTCCACTGCGCCCGTCACCCTGAGACATAAGTTGACAAGTTCCATGTGCCTGTAATTTCGCCAGCACCCTTATCCTTCATAACCGGAACACAGTAATGTAAATTACTGCTTGGCGACAGAAATTGGTAAGATGACAGTACTACCCTAGACGAACTCTTTCACAAGGAGCACTACTGCTACTAAATATTTCTTTCGTGTTAGGTACAATTCTTATCATAACTTACTATTTCTATTAAAACCTTGGTTGCCTGAATTATAATTATTGTCCTGAATAATAATTAATTATTGCCCTAAAAGATTTTCTATAATAAAACTCGCCAATAAATTCGGTTTATTACCGAGGTTCTTTATTATTTTCTATCAAAACATAATGAGAATCAGAAAAATTTAAATTGAAAACAGCAAGATCTAATATAATCAAATCGTCGGGGATAGTGCAATTACGCTTAACTAGCATTGGATTAGGAGTTTCCATATTAGCCAAATCAAATCCGCGTATATATCGTGGCAACAACGCGTAATTTACAGGAATCTATTGTTATCAGTCCGTAGACAACATAAATTAATGCTTAATGCGCAACAATGAAAGTCGTAGCCATTAAAATAAAAAAGGAGTAACGTTAAATCCCTCTCCCGTAAAATTTGGATTAGTGCAGATACACGCCTTTTACCAATGCTACATACGGATAATTGCGGAATTGGAAATAAATAAATGCGGATTTGCGCCATCCCCGATGAAATGTCGGTTAAGCCGTCGTATGCTCCCTCTTCTGAGTAAGATTGAGTAATATTTCAAAAGCCAACATCCCCTATTAAAAGTGGTAAGATTTATTATTTGCACCGATTTATGTCATGATATTGGTCGGAACAGAATAGTTTTCAAACCATTGTTTGAAAACTATTCTGCGAAATCATTACTGCGCTCCGATTGGCCAGTCCGAATTCGAAACAATTGACGGGTGTCATCCACTGTTTTATTTCAAATCGACCAGTTTAACTTGAACTTTGCTATAATGGACGATAATTAAAAAAATACATATTTAATTACCGATGAAATGTGATTCCGTTTGTTTTGTATTTAATCAGATGTTTTGCAGTTTTTCCCACACCACCGAATGGAACAGCTACCCATAGTTAGAGATATTATCTTTATTACAATAAATAAATAATATTTTTGGAAAATACGGAGACGTACACACAGGTCAGTTTTTAGCGCTGTACTATTTCAGCTTTCTAATTTGTGATTTCAGCGCAAACGAGAGTTGATATTTAAAAGTGGTATAAGTCCCATTTTCCTGATGAGTTGCCAGGGATTGATGAAACTTATTTCGTCTCTATTTGTGGTTGTAGACATGGATCCCATTGACGTTGGTTACATTCTAGTTTTGGACTATGTTTTTAATCATCGTCGTTTTTGTAAACTGTGGGTACGTCGTAAAATATCGCTACCGACATTTTTCTTACTAATCAGCGAAGGTAGTTCCGCATAAAGATTAGAGTGTTATAAGGTTATAAGAGTGTTTAACTAGTTTTTTGCTTATACAGACGGCACGTGCGTTACCGAGACGGCTCGTTTTTTTGTCCTATTGTAATCGAAAAATAAAGCGATAAAACTAATCGATGCAAATAATATAACATGTCCATAACAGAGTTTTTTTTTAAATACTAATAACCTCGCTGGACTATATTGGACTATATCTTATTTATTATTATTTATTTATTTATTATATTACTAACATCATAAACAACAACTTTTATTCCATGATTTTTAATAATTCATCAGATTTTACTTTCATACTAAAATAAATAGATTTAAATAGACCACTCTAAACATTAATAACTTTGTGCAGGACAGGAGTGGGAGTCGTCGCGGTGGCGGAGGACGCTTACACCTTAGAAGTTATTCTAGATGTTAAAAGTATTAAATAGTACAACAAAAATTTAAAAGTTTATTTACGGTAAATTTGTTATGTTTTGTTAAAAGTCATGTAACAAAAGTTGTTGTCTTAGATGTAATTAATTAAAAATAGACCTGCTGCGTACATGCACAGAACAACTATTTCTTTAATATCTCTCGCCAATCTTCGTGTTTCAGGGGCTATCGTCGGATTTCTATCAATTGCCCTTTGAAGAAATAAAAGAATAGTTCTGAATTAAAATTATTATACATAGTTAACAGATAGTAATCACATGGAAATTCTGGTGCATTCGGAAATCCAAAGAGTGTCGAGGTATTAATGAATATTTACAAATGCTTTGCTCTCAAAAACTTTGCCTAAGCCACACGATGCGTTGCGACGACGCGGACGTTGTGTTATGACGCTGCGTTATACAGACATCACATCGAGAGACATCAGAGCATATCTAACTACATATAGACGGATATTGATCCGTTGCACTGGAGGCAATATTCGAACAAAAGCTATATATGCTATACGTGCTGTTGACTGTACATATAAATTAGAATAACACGGTGCGTTGGCACGGCGCGCCACCGCAAACAACTTAAGGGAGATGCAACACGGTGTTGCGTCGGCGTTGCGTCGTCGCTACTGCGTTGGTTTCAAACGACTGAGTGCCACACGAGCTGTTCCGTTGACGCGCGCTGTTTGTGACGCCGCATTGTACTACATATAAATCAGAACGATATGCCACACGGTGTATTGAAACAGCACACCACCGCAAGAAACGTAGTAGATTAAAATCGTACCGTTGCGACGACGAAACATCAGTGTGGCATTGCTCTTAGTATACATTGAAATCATAGCGTTGCGATGACGCAAAACCCCTAGTGGTATCGCTCTAATAAGTGTTAAAACACTATTTTAGTATTTAGGATATATTAGCTATTTCTACTAAAATCAGTGCATGAGAACACGAATTACTTAAGCAATGTTCTAAAAACTAAGATAATGTAAACCGAGCATGAGACTAAGTTTACACGTGTTCCCTGCAGTTGGTTACCGTCGTACGTGCCGCAGTACGCGCTTACCTTAAGTCCTATATAACATCGATCCAATGCTTATGCACAGACGGCCTAAAAGCGAAGACCGACCAGTGGAAATCAAATAAAGCTAAGTTGCCGTTTTTGCCTTATAGGCTTCGACTTGTTCAATAGTATCGAAGAGAGGCATTGTCTTTGTTTCAGGTGTGAAAGCAAGAAGGGATCCAGCCAGTATTGCTGTTGAAGAGAACAGGATGGCTGGGAGTGTTGACATTTCTGTTGTCTGAAAAAAAGAGACAAATAAAATTAAATATAAAGTCGTAACATATAGATCGATACATAGTTAGCGTATATAGTCCCACTGCTGGGCACAGGCCTCCTCTCACGATGCTGATGGCGATGGCTTGAGTGTAGTTCCCATGCGGATTGGGCACTTTACACACATTGCAGACGTGTGCAGGTTTCCTCGCGATGTTTTCCTTCATCGAAGAGGTCATGGCAAATTTCTCACATATAAATTCCGATATATCAGATATGTAAGCCCGGATTCGAAGACACGACAATCAGTTTTGATTTTATTATACCCCACTTACGCTATATACACACTCGCGTTATGTACTTTTGATTTGCACATGTTTTAATTTGTTCTTGTAGTCTGTCTTTTTTGAAGACGGAGTAAAATTACATTTGCAGGGTTGCCAATTATCATAGAATTTTAAATAGTTATGTAGATGTTGTCAATAATTTTATCGATAGATTGTAATGGACGATAAATTTTGCCAGAAATGACTGAATTGTGAATGTTACGACGTTCTAATGACTACTAATTGCGTTATTGCCTTCTTTATTCTTATTTTGACAGTTGGCCTACTGCTATCGAGATCAATTTTTATTCATGAACATTCCGTTTTGATTATCTATACTCAATAAAATTGAAACACTTTAAAAATATGCCCTCTCTATGTGTTTTACACACACATAATTCTAAATATAGTGTATACCTATATGTATGAATTCACAAAAATTGCCAATTCAAATGAACTTGTGCTCAGTAATTGGATGAATAATCGACGATGATTCAAATGAAACAAGTTCGGTTATTTATCTCCTAACCGCGACCAATATTCATTTGATAGTCGATGGAATATTTATTATCTGCAAGCACTAGCTGCTCGCAAGCGGGCAACATTTTTGCGCAATGAACTGTCATTTTACAGACTATAATAAAGTTTATTTATATTTTATTTCGCTTTTTATTGAGTATCATGATGTCTTACTATCATTATGCTCATTAATTACTTGTACCTACACTACTCACTCGAACATGCGTCTGTATGCCAAACTATTAGGTTTCGAGTTCCGTCAGAGTGAAGGAATCTTCCTTTGCGTTCGATTTTTGTATTAATAATTATAACAAACTAGTGAAGTAATTTCAGAAAAAAATAATTAATATCATGGTAGTAAAACATCAATCTTCTTCACTGAGATACATATTGCCGTTGACTTTAAATTTACTTCTGTCAACCAGTTTCATTATTATCTTATTTATTAAGACTTTTGTCGCCTCGTTCATTCCTCACGACCCGTAGACAGCAGCCCTTGACCTCTTTATGGCGGCTCATTTTCATATTATTTTTATTTGTCAACTATTCTTGGTCTTGATCTCCTTTTTTTTCCTTCTATTTTTCTGTCAATTATAATTTTAGTAAATTTGTTACTACGTAACAAATATCTAAACATTTTCCCCTTCAGTTTTCTATTGTCTTTAAAAGACTTCTCTCTTTCCTAAACAAGTGACCAAATTACTTACCAGAAGAGGTGTGAGCGGTGACAACATACTGCCAAGCCTGGCTACTGTATTGCCGCATCCCACAAGAGAACCTCTAACGCTTGTTGGAAATAACTCCATGCTGTATGTGAATATTCCAGTAAAACACACCACAACGCCAAATTTTCCGAGTAAATAGAGAACTATTTTTAGCCAGGATATTGCTGAAATAACAATATTATTACATTTGAAATTCAATTACTGACTTTCAAGTTCTGTGATATTATCGTCCACCTTGAACGTAATATTCACATATTAGAAAGAGGAAAGAGGGTACCTCCATACAGGTCCCATTTAATTTTTAAGAAAATCATCCGCCTCTAAGGGCAGCTGTTCACGCATGAAGATTCATTTTTATAAATAGCGCCTAAATTTCATTACAAGGAGCAATTATTTTTAATGGTTGATTTTGCTATTCTCCAATTCACGGCGTTTTTCTCTCAATATACTTTGAGTAGAAGAACTAGGGGATGAATCCGGGTTTGGGCACTTTCCGGTAACCGATTTCAATAAAACTTGATAATTATATGTAATTCCACGTACTTTTGAGGTCGGTTTTTTTACTACTCTGTACTGAGATTATAAGTAACATGGTTAGAGTAAAAGATTCCAGTTTAAAATTAAATTGCAATAAAATTAAAAGCTGACCATAACTATTTTTATCTACACACATATCATAAACCCTCTATGATGTGTTCAAAAACCGCAAATTACGACCAGCATAAAGATAAACTGGTTTGTTAGAACAAATTTCTTAACTGTGAAAATGATGAAAATCGATGTTATTATAACATTCAAATTTTGAACACCTCTGGAAAACAAAACAATTTGATTTGATCTCAATTCTAATATCAGTCGAGATGAAGTTTTATTCGAAATGAAATGTTAATAGCAAACAATTTTGACAAATTTTACTCGTTACTTTATATCGAACGATATGATAGTTGGGGCCGACTCTAGTTTGTCTATGAATTAAGTAAAAACTACGGTTATGTGATATGCGTGAGAAAAGTTTTTATTTGCCGCCATTTCGCCAGTCGTAACATGCGGTTCCTGAACACATCTTAAATAGCTTTTAATATGTGTATAGATAAAGCAGTGTATGTACCTGTACATAATTAGACATTAAAACAGTCGTGTTATGTTTTTATGAAACTCGTCATCTTAATGCCTTTCATTATGTAACAGTCACATAAACTACTATAATGTTTGCACCTGTTACCCAGTGATACTCCAATTCTTTATTTGAATTATCTGACACGGTTTTGTTCGTTGTAGCCGTACTTAGAAAACTTAACCTCAACTTTCAACATCATATCAAATGTCAATAAAAATATTTAATAAGATAATTAACATAAAAAAAGACATATTATTTTTATATTATTTCTATTGTTTTCCATCTTGTAAAATCATTTTATAAAAATTAAAAGAATTCCTTTTACAAAAACGCTACTACAACGTTAAAAGAATTTTTAGAAAGTAAGTAGAATGTAAGATTTTTGTTTATAATTCAAGTTTAATTTCCGATTTTCTAAGTTTTTTTTTCATTTATTCTTCTCTAAAATGCGTATCTCATTTGTTATTAATTCTGATTATTACTTTAAATAATTTTCTTCAACATCTTAAATTTAATTTATTGTGTTTTTGTAATGACCTTATAGGGCTTTTGCAGAGAACTTTACTGCCACTAGCTCATAAGAATTTATTTGCTGCAACATTCAAGCTATAAAGATTATGACTATGACAGTTTTGGACTGTTTAAATGTAAAGTTAGTACGTTTTAGAGTTTCTCAGAAGAAATTGTTTCGACCGTTTTCATTAAATTTGAATGACTCCAAAGCTTACATTTAAATAGTACATTATGTATTTAGAAATTACTAACGAGGTTTTATTAGAAGCCCGAAGCCGAATGCCGAGGGCTTTAATAACTCGAGTGTTGTATCTTTTATCGTCCGTGATACACACAACCTTTTGTCATCACATTTGCGAGGAAATAAATACTTACAATGTGTATGTATTTATGTATGTATGTATGTATGTATGTGTATGTATTTCTTGTATGAATAAATATGGTTCATAACACAACAATTATAGATTTTGCAAATGGCGGGTATTTTATTATTATTTTTATCAACAGATGGCCAGCTAGCTATTCTTCCCCATAGAATACAACTCGAACTAAAATGTTGTAAAAAGTAAAGACGCATACAGCCATGAAGGATTGTAAAACAATTTGCTAAATTTTTGTACAAATAATAATTAAACTAAATTATAAGATATTCTTAATAATAAGTATTATGTTTAATGTAAGAAAGTTAGTTATGCTACAAATTAAAAAAATCCTTACCGAATAAGGCTGCAAGGGAAAGAAAAAACGCAAGAGGGTTTTATTTGGTGCACTATCAAGTTAGCCATCATGTAATCATATTATTTACGAGCAAGTGTGATGAAAAAATAGAACTACTGAGAAATTTTTAATTTGAAATATCATTGTCATCATATTATTTTCAAGTAGTAACTAATGTTACTACTTGAAAATAATATGATAGGTAATCCTACAGCAAAACTGGGCGATATTTTTATCTTACGACTGTTTTTTTTTTTAATTATTGCGCTCCCGCTGCCGCCCTGCAATCGCAGACAAACTGCCGCTGCCGTCCAGCTGGGCCATCACCCGCGCCGGCGCCCCGCCTCCAGTTTTTTTGCGACGCAACCACGTTTTTTATTTTATTTATTAAAAGTATTATAAATATTCACTAAATCTGTAATTTTTATAAGTTAGTGTAGTATACTCATATATACCATGGCGTATAATAATCTAAATTTAAAAGATTTTATTGTTACATTCATAGGTAAAGACAAAGCTAAACGTAGTAACGCTCCACAAAATTCACGAATTTTTTTAAAGTACATTATATATAAAGTATAAGTAAACGAACGTTACTCGCAAGTGTGATGAAAAACATTGTATGCCACACGGGCGTAATTACAAACGTTCGAGCTGTTAAATAATTCAATATAATATTTTATGAAAACAGGTTGCACAGAAGTTGTCATTTAACAAATTAAGTATAGTTTCATTGTGTCCGGCCAAACGTACAAACATATTAAAGGTATTGGAATGGAATGAAATGGAATGGAAGGAATTACCCTCATTTTCTTCCACAGACTATGCTAGGTGTGACAATGTTCTTTTTATTAATATCACATGCGCGAGCGCATAAGGTTGCCAGGTCTTAAAACCGAATAGCCAGACAGACCAGACAGTTTAGCTGGACATTTGGATAAAAAGGCTGGATATTCTCAGAAGTCCCGGATTCGATTCTCGGCCGGGTCAATGTAGAAAAACTAATATACACAAATGATAGTCTAGTTTCTTACTTTGGGAGAATTTTCAGAGCAAAGTATGTGATGTTGTTTAATATTTATATTTATTTGTGTCATAGTTTTAACACGACATTTTTTTAAATGTAAAAAGTAGATTTTATCATTTCATCGAAAATCTTGGGAAATTCTAATGAATTGTAAATCTTCTTAAATGTAAACTCAATGAAATTGAATAAAGAAGTAAGTCTTCTTTATTATTTATATTAATCATCTATTAGTTATTACATCGAGACGCCCCGCTCGCCCAAACGACCACGTGACTGGTCAAATTTTCAAAAGTCAATTGGTCAAAAGACACCGTTTAATATGGCCGGATACGCATCCAAAAAAGCTTGAATATGTCTGGTTTTATCCGAACGTCTGGCAACGCTACGTGCACTCATGGATATAAAAAGTAATAATAATTAAAATAATATTATTTTTACTTATTATAATATTACTTATTATAATAAGTAAAAATAATATTATCTGTCAATAATAGTTTAAGCACGGTAATTGGTAATTTAATGTTACACTGTTCATAACATAGATTTAGGTACAAATCTATGGTTCATAATTGCATACTTATAGCCTTTATAACACATTTTTTTTATTATTGGTTCACTTACAATTATTACAATGTAAAATACTATAATTTCAATTTGGTGAAGATCTTATCTAAATTTCACAAGTACTTATGAGTGGACACAGCTTGCAAAATCAACGTGAAATTGAAATTATATAGAATTTAAAAACAGCAACTTAAATATTTAAAAAAAGAAAAAAGTTATATAAGCAAAAACAATAAATACAAGTGAACAAGGGTCTCGGACAGAATCAAAGTAGACAGGGGGGAAAAAATTTATTCAGGTTTAATAATATAATACTATTGCGAAATTTGTGCAGAGCTGCCAAAATATTCCTTCGGCGTCCACAATAAAAAAGGATCACTTCTATCGCAAACGCGACTGTGCTTATTATATAGTCTGCAGAATGTAGTTAATGGTGCAAAAATGTTAAATAATAATAGTGGACGCGTAGGCGACAATGCTTTTTGGTGAAAATAGTGCAACTTAATAACGTTGGTGTCTTTTGTATGACAAGGCGAGTTAATTGATCGGCACTTCAAAACATGTCCAAGTACAACCTCTTTTGACTCAAAACCAACTTTTTGTTTCGCTTGTCATAAGCCTTCCCACGTCGTAGCGCTACAAAAGCATGGCGTTGCAAGACATGTTGATATTTTATATAAGTATATTTTTAATTTATTGGAGTTAACTGACTTTTTTAAATTAATTGATGGTCAACTTTTTGAAAATCCTAATGCTTCTGTTATGAACATCAATTTCGTTAAATGTATTATTATTAATGGATTTTTAACCTATTCAAAGGTGATCGCTTGCCAGCATTTGGTACGACATATTATTATGTTATAGTAGCAAACAGGAATAGTCCGTAATGAACGCATGTGGACTTTGCATGATATACTGTTAACAATATCAGAGCAACAATATCTGCTAATGCATAAGCCATACAAAGTCATGCACTCCAACTGCTGACGCCTGGAGTGAAGATCTAGCAAGTTATATTTTTCAAGTTTTTTTTAATGACCTGTTTGGTATAGTATAGGTTTTAATATATACTTACAGTCTGGCGTATATGCCTGGCACACAATAAACAGAGCAGTTGCAAAATACGCATATTGCAGTGACACTCTTCGTCCAAACTTTATAAAAGTAAAATACGCCAATATGTCTCCGGGGAATGACGTCAGAGATACTAAAGCAAAGTTTGTATATTTATTCCCTGGCAAAAACACGGAGTGCACCATCAATCCGCAAAATATGAAACTCGCGCTGAAGAAACATACGGAGGTAACCAACAAACGTATAACAATCTCTTTCGAATGCATTATTTCTCTTATACTCTCTTTCTCTATCTGGACTTGAACATTGAATTTCAGCCTTAAATCTTCATCGCTTATTTCGTCAATTTCTTTCGTAGTGACTTTCAGTTTATTCATTTTTGACATTTTTTTAAACGTTTCTTTGGCTTCGTCCATTTTTCCTCGTAGCATTTGCCATCTTGTGCTCTCTCTTAACACAAATGCGTAAAATACAAACAAAATTAATGGAGCATAAGCGACAATTATCAAAGATTTCCAATGTTTCAGGCCCATGGCGAAAAATGCAAAAACCACTTCCCCGAAATAAGTAGCATACGAAAAAATTACTCCCGCCAAAACTCTTTTCGATTCGCCGCCGACTTCTATCACTAAAAACATAAAAATTTTATGTTTAGTTATTTAATAACACATAAAGTTAATACAACAAGCGTGCAAACAAGCAAATTTGTTAATTGAATAATATAGAATCATGATTTGTTTTGTGTATAATGGCACGTAGGCTTAAGTATATTAGGAACAAAATTTCTTCTATATACACTTGCTTTGAAACATCAACTGTTTTGATCCAAGCTAGAGACTAAATTTTTGCCAAACAGGTCTCCATTTGTCGCAAGGATCCTCATTCTTTTTTTAACCAACTTAAAAAAGGAAGAGGTTCTAAATTCGTCTTTGTTTTTAAAATTTTTGTGTGCATGTTACGCGATAAATCCGACATTTGTGTACAGATTTCGATGATTCTTTTTCATTGGAAAGAGGGTACCTCAGTAGGGGTTCCATTCAAATTCCACCTCTAAGGGTGGCAAATTAGGAGAATCCGATTTATTGAATTTCACCCACTTTCCGTTATTTGAAGTCAATAGGAGTTGGCGTATAGATGTAATTCCAATGAAAATAAAAACAGCGAAAACGGATGAAACAACTTTTGAGGTCAGTTTTTTTAAATAAAATAGTTATAATTATTTATGATATCAAATGGCGGACGAATAAATCGTGCGCCTGGTGGTAAACAACACGTCTACGTATAACAGTTGCAGTGCCATTCAGATTAAGCCATTCAGTTTCAAAGATTTCGATACCTCCAATGAACACTAGGCTAACTTTATTTTTTGCTCATTTTCTGTTTTGTAAACAAACATAACATTATACTCCCTGAATTTTGTAAAAAAAATACAGAAACAAAAAACAAAATAAAAACAGAACAAGAAAAATTAAGATGTCGTAGTGTTCAGTGAAGGGATCGATTTTCGGGGCACTGTCTTTGTACCCGTCTCACACATGATGTCGATAAGACCCATCCCATGTGCTTGTACTTTCAGCGGCACCCTCTGTTGTTAAATGATACACGTTGATTTAAAACTTACGTAAAACCACACAGACCGTGTACAGTCCGGAAGAAAAGAATGATTCCAAAAATTCCACAACTAAATACGCATAATAGTTTGATAGGAACATCTTCGTGACTCCAATAGTGCCTCCGACAGAACATAAAATTATTGTTGGTTTTCTTCCTATCCTGGAAAGAATATCATTACTTTGTTTTATTACCTTGACTTTATTTTACACATTCCAAATCTATCAAATAATTTTTTTTTTAATGATACCAAGGGACGGGAAGAACAAGTCGTGCGTCTGATAGAAAGCGACACCCCTGGACACGAGATCTACCACGAAATACGATACTACGAGACTGCGTCCGCAACGAAGCTCATATGTACTACACAAAATATTGTCAGTTTTGCGATGAAAATAATGTCAACATTCTATAAGGTAGCAAGCTGTTGCTGCATTTGACGTTTCGGAGTAAAGTATCCTCAAATACGTATTACGTCAAATTACAATCTTCGATCGTTGCTTCGTATTTCGTGGTAAGCCTCCTGTACCGAAGGGCACTGCATTGCGCACGTCACCCTGAGACATAAGTTGACAAGTCCCATGCGCCTATTATTTAATTAGCACCTTTACCCTTTAAAACCGGATCGCAGTAATGCTCACGTTACTGCTTGACGGCAGAAATAGATATGGTACTAGTTTAGTGTAGCAGTAGAGCTCCTTGTGAAAGAGTTCGTTCAGCGAAGTACTGCCACCTTACCTATTTCTGCCGCCAAGCAGTAATGTGAGGATTATTGCATTCCGATTTGGGAGGGTAAGGGTGCTGGTGAATTATATGATTTTTAATTCGGGACTTAAAAATCAAATATAAAACATGTTTTTATACGTGACTAAGTCCCGAAGTTAAAAATCAAATAATGTGTGATAATCGTGAAAGTTTAAATCAAAGGTGCTGGTGAAATTACGGCACACGGGACTTATCAACTTATGTCTCAGGATGACGGGTGCGGTGGCAGTGGCCATAAGATTTATGCGTTTTAAGCTCTGAGTGGCATTGTAAATGTTATGGACAGTTGTGTCGCTTACCACCTGGCGCTGGCTTGTTCGTCCTGTCACTTGGTATTAAAAAAAACAAAAACACTTTCTTGGACGAACTGTTTCACAAGGAGATCTACTGCTACAACAAACACAATTCGTAACAAAACACTGTTCGTGACATCTATGTTTACTACCTCACTTTCTTCTCTCATAATTATCATTATCAATATCATCCCTGAAATATGTCTACTTCTGATCATTGGCCTCCTGTATGGAAAGTCACAACAACCTCTACATGCAGAACTACACCTCGCAATCCTATACTTGGGACGTACGACTTTCCCACGCGTAATCCTATACGCTCTTGATCACGCGCGATAGAGAGATGTGAGGGCTATTGACAATGACATTGATCAAGTGCCAGATTTACCCGTTGCCTGGTCTCAAACTACGGAATTTCCTGTACTATGAGTACATTGAGGCACTACCCGTAACATCTAGACCAGAGTCAATTTAGAAAATTTCTCATTTCCCAAATTGATCCTACCGGGAATTGAACCCGGGACCTTTACATCCAGCATTGATATTAAGGATTTCCGAAATAACAAAATAATCACTTACTTATCGGATATCCATCCAGTTAATAGCATGGTGGCAATCATACCTGAATTGTGAACGCTACCCACCAGAGACGCTTTCCAGGCTTCACAACCAAGATTTAGCTGTAAAACAACGACCATCAGAAACAAGAAAATAGATTCACGTGTTCGTGAAAATCCTATACGGCTTTCTAGGCAAGTTAAACTTAAGATCATTTTTTACAAGGTGGTTTAAAGTACAATTTAAACTTTAAATGTAATTACAGTCAGTAAGTACTGACACTGTTAACAGTGCGTAGGATCTAAGCTTCAGATTATCTTACCATGAGTGACTTGGAGTTTAAATCATAAGTGAAACATGAACTGTGCCCTTGTCCGTTCCTTACTGTACATAGGTACTATAAACACTTAAGAGGCTATACTACCTCAGCTCGAATTCAAAATTTTCCAATATTAATACGGTTCTTTTTGCTTGGGTCGAGCGGCAGGGACACTGGCTTATTTCCATTGACTTACAATTATCTTATTTCAGAAATATTTTATTTACACACAAAATTAAAGCCATTTGATAAATGTATGTATATCGTTTCTCTACAAAATACTTAACAGTATCGTTGATTCACCAACCTGTTATCGCAGGTTATTAGGTTAATTTTATAAATAAAGCTCGTTTACCAGCACGCCCCCAACGTAAAATAAAAATTTTCGTACCACCACGACTCCGTAAGAATTATACGAGACTCAGTTATTTTCATCGGTCCTTATCATTATATAATAATACATGTGTTGTGACACGGATATGTTTGGTATCTCATTGAACAGATTTAAGGTAAGCATCCACAACAAATTATTTATTAGTAATGATACGGCTTAGCGTCCTAGTTGGGACAGTCTGTCTATGAGCCTGAAGCCGGTTTACATCCCGGTTAATTAGTTTTGTTTTAATTTTCTTTAGTTCTAAGTAGTAATTTGTCTAAGCACCCCTTAGACTATGGAAACGACATATTATGTTGACATATATAAATCAGACGTTATTTGTATATGATGCATTTCGACGTTGAAAACATAAACGTGTTATTGTCTTTGTTTAACTCTTGCGTGCCGTCTCAAACCAAAAGAGTTAGCATTATATTGGTCTGTGCCAAACACGGGAATCGAAAATACGTAACGTCATCTTAAATGCCAACCGTGTCCATTTCGCAGTACATGAGGTACATGATACGGTTGTCAAAGGGAAGTATATCAAATGTCAAAGCAAATGTTTTCCAAGTGGTTTATTGAATTATTTGCATGTATTGTAATAAAATGGACAAAAATATTGAAAGTGAGAACAATTAAGTATTAATAAAAATTCGTCGCTGCAGCATTACGGGATGTGGCATTTGAAAACGCGAAGATCGACCGAATGTAACATTATATAGGCACGTGTTATTTTTCTGTCTATAAATCACACAAAAGCCCAAATATCTCATGTAATATTTATTGACATATTTAAGAAGTTTATTCATAAATCTTGTCAAATTTTGCTTTGGTTTCTTCAGATTGCCTGTTTGTTTGTATATTTTGATGATTGTTATTAACGATTATTTTGAGATAGTGTTGTTCTTGGAAGCGTACATATAATCGATATTCTGTTATTAAAATAATTCACTACGAGATTTTTATTATTTTATTATTATTGTTTTTACTGTTTCAAGTCTACCTACAAATCAAAAAAGAAAAAAACATGGTTAGAAATCATACCGCCGTATAATAGTGCCGAATATAAACATTCAATCAAAGACCATTTTCATTTATTCGCTTCATTTTGAAGAGTCAAAATTTTAACATAACTTTGAATGTAACTAGATTACATGATAATGCAATTCCATCATTAGGTGTATTGGTAAATATTTTTATATTTAATTTAGATTAGAAACAAGACTCATTTACTAGGCATTCTCAGTTCCTGAAAACAAAATTATCCATTCGTTTCCGATTTTTTCGCACTGACAACTGTAACTACTAAAAATTCTTATTTTGTAAAGCTAGCAATACATTGACCATGCTGGTCCAACGTTGCCGGGTGAAGGCCAATACCAACGTATAGACAGCCTATTTGCCTTGCCTTGCCTTGCCATCGTTCGGTGTCACTCGCCTAGCTGACCCAGTGAAGGAGAGCACTAACGTGTTCGTTTGATGTGGCTTGTCACAACTTGCAGTCCCTCATGACTACTTGTCTCACGTCGTAGAAGTGTTGAATTTTCTGTACAAACCAAAGGCGCTCGGCCAATAGTAGTCAATTGATTTTGTATAATCAGACATTTGCATGCTATTTAATATATGGGAAACATGTTTATACTAACACTGTCTCTTGGTACATCTCCTGTTATACCATGTTTTAAGCAAATAAATGTATGATAATAATATTATTATTGATAATATTAATATTTTCATTTATTTCCAAAATTAAATGGAATCTTGATGGAAGATCACTTAAATCAGTCACTGATATTAATTCTATACCAATGCAAAAATACAAAAAAGCCTACACTATTTGGAATCTGTTTAAAAATTTGTCTATGAAAATATGAATCTTGAGGTTGGAAATGTATAGGAGTTATATTTCAAAGTTTTCTCTTTTTTATATACTCTCAAATTACATTTTTTCTGTGCAAATTCACTTTTCGTAATATTTGAGTATTTGTAAACGCAAAACAATAAATTCAAAATTTCATGTGACATTCCCGGATATTCCCATATAACCTAAAATATTCCCAAATGGAATATTGATATACTTTAATTAAATGTTTGCATGTCGATAATGACTTATCGATAGATTATGGTACGACACTAAAGAAATCCGCCATTTGTTCGTTCAATTTTTGTTTAATATAAATTTTTGTTTGATATAAAAAAATCATTGGTACATATAAAGTACCTATTGAATACAGCGGTTTTCTTGTAAAATTTCAATGTAAGTTTGTGTTTTTATTTTATCGCGAAAATTTTTAGGAATTGTGTTTTCACACCATACAGCATCCAGTCTATATCGTCAATTTTACTATATATTTTTTCCAAAGTGATTTATTCAACAGTCAAAGTGTTATGCGGAACCAACCAAAGCCATTTGAGGTAGTATACACTCTTAAGATCGATGTTCGGACGGAGGGTTGCGACACACTGGAAATCTAAAATAAACCGTAGCGAACTCGCAACGAGATACCCGCGAATAGTCCCAGATTCAACAACTACACCTACTCACATATCTAAAAAGAGTTTCAACCGAACGAAATGTTTTTTGTCCGACTGAAATACCTCTTACTAGACAATTAATTTTTCTCAAACATGCTCGGAAATGTCATTACTTTCAAAAAACGAACACGGGAAGTTAGTCTTTAGTATTTATGGACCGTGAGACTTAATCCCGGCCCAGGCCGGGAAGTAAGCAAGAAAATCCATTACTGTCCACTTTTCTAAACTTTTAAACCTAGATGAGCTATGTAAACAGGCAAAGGAATAACTCATAAACCCAACTGTCCAGTGTTAGTAATTGCGAGAATTAAAAATACCTACGTATACCGCTTACTTAAAAAAAAAGGCGGTAAAATAAATAAAGTGCTTTGGTATTCTTTTCTGTCTTTTCGTCTTTTTTGTGTTTTCGTCGTGAAAATGAGTGAGACGAGCGGTAACGAAAATGCAGTAAGATTGTACTCCTCCTATTTAAAACTTGGAAAACTTGTTGCAAGACAACAAGAGGAAAACAAGATACATGAAAACTTATTAAACTTTCTATCAATAGCAATTAAGGTAAGGTTTGTTCGTATATATATCGTAATGTGTAACATTGAAGGATACTAGTTCCGATAATGTAAATAAGCATAAATCAAACCTTTGTTTCAGGTTGCTCTAATTTTAGGGATAAACGGTGCGAGCAGGAGTACAGAGCTCACAAATATCACCACAAAGGATATAGAAAATCATAAATATATTTATATAATATTATACTTTTAATATTAATTAATTTTGTTTTTTCTACTTTTTTTGTTACACATCTTCCTCTCTTTAGTTTTTTATTATTTCCTCACATTGTTTGAGAAAAGCACTATACTCGCCTTGGCCGGAATGGGTATTGCTTGACTCGTAGCAACTCACTCATCCAGCAATCCCTTACTTCCCGGCCTCTGCAGTAATATACAAAGAAATTGTAAATTTATATTATTTGACGTCGCTGTATTTCTACAATATTTTCATAGTCAGAGTCATATCATTTATTGCACTATGTGGTACAGAAAAAGGTCCTATAGTTATTAAATATGCTCTAACATAAACCCTGTACCTTACTTTACTAAATACATAATCTATTTTCATAATAAAAAAACTCATCAATCAATGAGTTTACCAATTGATTCCTTTTCCTGAAATTATAGTCTTATTTAAATAATGAATGTATTTTCTTATAAATATACAGATTTTAAATATATTGAATTTAAATTTAAAATATATAAAGAAACTGTTAAACCGTGGTACGTGGTAAATGAAAACGCAAGCTGTGGCTTGTATGTTTCGTGTTGAGATGATGGATAAAAGAGTGAGCAAGTTTTACAATTTTACTTATATACTAGAGCAAGACGCTTTCTGGTGCCCTGGATATACATTATAATAGATTATTCGACTAGCGCCATCTAGCAAGCGGCCACAGAACTGGGTGGTTTGTCTAGTTTACTAGGCAACTAACGTAAGACACCGCGATACAGTGCCGCGGCGTAGTGTTAGCAGACGCTCACTAGGTGGCGATGCTAACAGAAGCAAAATGTTTAAACAATTATGTATTTCTTTATTTTAGACATAGACATACTTTTATTAGCTCAGCACAAAAACACAAAACCATACTACTTACTTATTTGACATATAATAATTACAATTAAAATTACTGTAAAGATACAAAGTCGATAGTATAGTATGGTCAGCTGTAGCGTCATGCCAACACGGGTCTCAGCATAATATGCTGCAGTATTACCACAACGATTATTTTCAGTAAGCCCGTAGAGCTCGACGCCAGCAATAAACGCGAAAAATTATAAATACTGCTACATTTTTTTTTATATTCTAATGTAAGTGTGCATTTGACCTCCATCTCACCTGATGGAAAGTGATGAGGTCGACGATGGAGCACCTAGATAATCCCTATTCACTCTCGCCTTGAAAAGTTCCAAGTTATAACGTTCAGGGAACAAGTCTGCAGGCAGAGAATTCCACTCCAAAGCCGTTCGCCAATATTACATTTGCTGTTATTATACATATTATGATTAATACGTAAAAAATGTATATAAAAAAGCAAGGTAAGATAAATTATGATAATATCAAAATTCTTACTAAATCCCAAATAGAATGAGATTATAGGGTTATACCCCGTCAGCAAACCTTTATTTCGAAAATGCAGGAACAATCAAGTGACGGACGGGACATACAAGCTGTGCGCCTGGTGTTAAGGACATGCCCATCCTTAGTAATTGCAATGCCTCTCAGAGCTTTAAATCGTAAAGATCTGAGGGGCACTGCCATTGCATTTGTCACCCTGAGAGCCTGAGACATAATTTGACAAGTCCCACGTGCCTGCAATTTCCCCAGCACCCTTGCCCTCCAAAGCCGTAATGCAGTAATGCTCACATTACTGCTGGGCGGTAGAAATAGGCAAGGTGGCAACTACTTCTGGATGAACTCTTTTACAAGGAACTCCAATGCTAATAATTTGTATTAAATATTCATTATTATTGTTCATATTAGTGACCATTATATTATCCATTGACGATGTATTTCAAGTTATAATATCGTTATATTGATAGTTCCTTGACCTCGCAAAAGCCTTTGACAATATAAACATACCAATACTTTCAAACAAGTTAGAAGTACTGGAGTTAGAGGAATGCAGCTCAAACTTTTACAGGACTGTCTTTCTGACAGAAAATAGCGCGTGACGATTGACAAAACTATGAGTGATGAATTACCAATTGAATATGGTGATCCTCAAGGAAGCATAATAAGATCAATCCTATTCCTTGTCTATATTAACCAACCATGCGCTCGTCCCTCCCTGGTGGCAAGATCACTTCTTACGCCGATGATACAGTCTTATTATTCAGCGCCTCAAGTTGGAATGAAACATTTTCACAAGCTCAATTTGGTTTTAACACAGTAACCGACTGGCTCAGAGCGAATGCCCTTACACTGAATACTAGCAAAACTAAATATATGACTTTCTCATACAATATCTCCTCACAACCTTCTGAGAATGTTTTTTCAATAGTAGCTCACCATTGTACAAGCCCTCGAACTCATCTAAACCTCTGTGCTTGTACAGCACAAACGACATTAAATATTTAGGTGTCATAATTGACAAACATCTAAATTTCAAACACCATACTGTAGCGCTTACTTCTAGAGTTCGAAAATAGATATGTTTAAAAAAATTTAAGATATGGTAGCAGCGCCCTTCTCAAATCAGTGTATTTAGCCCTCTGTCAATCATTGCTACTTTACTGCATTACATCCTGGGGCGGTGCACATAAGACCACCCTGATAAACCTGGAAAGAGCGCAGAGAGCTGTTCTAAAAGTCATCAACTTCCGTCCTTTCGATTATCCAACCCGCAAACTCCTAAACGAGTGCGATGTCCTCTCGGTTCGGCAACTGTTTATCCAACAAATAACTTTAGAAAAAGCACTCAATTACTCCATTTGATTCTGTTACTTTAACCAACCAAAGACGACTCGATACCTTTTCATCTAGTGCACAACTCCGCACAGCACACTCGCATAGATTCTTTTGCTTCCTTGGTACATTTCTTTACTTTAAATTAAATTGTAATTTGCATTATTTCGCCATGAATAAAATAGAATGTAAAAGGACCGTCAAATTGTGGCTTAAGAGTAAGACTTACAATGAAATAGAGGACTTGCTGGAAGTTGTTCCATAATTACAATTTGTAGTTATAAATAGTTAATGGTATTTAATGGTTACCTATATAAATAGGTAACCATTAATTTATAACAATAATTATTTTATTGTTAAATATAGAAAATCTATTTTTAAGCTGTAATATAAAGATTTGCATAAAAAGATGCGTAAAATACAGGTATATATTTACTTAGTTTATCGCAATTACACATTAGATGTTTTATAATTTAAAATAGCTTTACTATGAAGAATGTATAATCTAGATTCCCCTGTTAATTCTTATTTAAATACTATTATAGCTTTACTTACATTTGTTTTTACTTATATTGTATTAGATTAAGTTATATTTTTTTTTTTTTTTTTTATAATAACGCTCACACTCAACATAGCCCCGCACTAGGGAAACCCTGTGTCGCGGGTGCCATGGACACACACATAGACAACCACAAATTACACCCAAACTCACGAGAGAAATAAATGTAGGCCATACAAATATTTCTCCCGGCCCGGGAATCGAACCTGGGACCTCTGCGTGGCAGTCTGGCATGGTAACCGTTCGGCCACAGAGGCAGTTGAAATAAATTTACCTTTATCTTATCTTTAGTATGACATAAATGACAGAAAATTCTATTCTACATAAAAGCTATAAATAAATGGTTTTGACTTTGACTTTGACTCTGAATAGACATAATGGAGAGATGATTTGCAAAATCGGTGTGAATTATGCGTGTGGTTTGTGTAGTAATTACATCGCAACCTGTACATTATCTTTCATTGTTGAATAATAGACCTTACTATTAAACATGATTGCCATAATCGCTCACTACACTTAACGCGCAAGTAGACGTTCAAGTATATTTAATCATTTATTTATAGTTTTTTTTTTTGCTCAATTTTTATTAACTACAAACCGGCAAATAGTGGCGGAAAGTGATTATCGTCGCTTATTGAAATTTGCAATACTAAAGATGTATTTAATGTCCCGAATACGATGCCCTCGACTCCCAAGTCTTCAATTCGAAACACAGCAATACTGCTTTACGGGAAATGTGGTCAGGGCCGTCGTCGTAGAGAAAATGAATTTTTGTTCAGATTTTTTTCAGACTGATATTGCACGGGTAGAAAACTAACCATCGCTATTATTAATACAAAGATCGAACACAAAGAAAAATTCTGACTCCCGCGGGCGGGACACCTCGTACCACTAAGCGAACCACTGATAGTACGGTGGGTATTTTTAAGTTTCTACCGTACTACCATAGAGATGCCTTGTTGACTGGACCCGAACCAATTTCTGCTGCCATACCGGGGCCAACGCTCTTAACCAATTAAGCTTGTGTTGATGCGACCCCTTTCATCGTCATCCCACCTTTTTATCACCCTTTTCTCTGGTTCCTGAGCACTTACTTTGAAATTTTGAATTGTTCTCTAGTTCCCTTTCTTCATCACTCTTGCTTTTCTTCGTTCTCTCTCTACTAAATTTCCGAAGCGAGCAGACGTGCTCGACTCCATACAAAATTCTCATCATGTGTCACTCATATTAAATTACAATCAAAATTTGTTATATACGTTTTAAAACGATGTGACGTGTTTGTGCACATACATGACACACATTTCCGTGGAATAGTTCAAAAAGTCGAAGCTACCATAAACAGTTCCTGATGCGTCAAGAAATGATAAACCTTTACAAGGACGTCACTTCCGGCTCTCATAGCTACACTACAACCTACAACCTACAGGACATGCTGATACGGGGCCAGAGCTTCGTCACAAGCTATAGACCCTGTACAGGCCAGGAAGCATAAAATTCGTTAGATCTGTTGAGTGCTGACCCGCTCGAGAATGGTGTTCAGGAGACCGATGGTATCGGTCCGCTCACGCTGTGTCACTGAATGTGCCAGCTCGCGCAGGTTAGTCTGAAAACTCGACATAGACATCTGAC